AAGGACAGCGAGTGAGTGAGTGAGTGGTTAAGTTACAACTTCCAACAAAGCAATTTTAACAATGCTGTCGGAGATTACTTTGGTGGGTCGTAGGTTGTTGGGGAATTCTCCAGCGCCTACCCTAAGACAACCGGATAAAACACTACAAACACAATAATAATAATAGTAATAAATTTATAGACATTCAAATTTTAAAACCATGTGGGAGCCACCATTATTTGCCCAAATCTTTGTGAAGGCCCCAACTTGAGAGTTGGAGTAGTGGTAGGGCATATATTGGAAGAAAGGGTCTTAGGTAACGCATACATAGAGATGCACACACCCAAATAAAATAAAAGAAAAGGCCCCCATACATAGTGGGGCTAATGGGACAAGTTTTATAATTTAAGATTGAGAGTGACATGGGTCCATCCTCATCTCTATCTCCCTCGAATCATTTGTCTCGTGTTTGTTAATTAACTTATACAGAGTTAATATCAATACTCTTTTAAATTAACATCGATTTTAAATTGTTCAATTCTATCTAACATTTGCATGATTTACGAACGAACGTGAACTTTTGACATAGGAGTGAGAGAGTAGTTATGGAGAGGAAGAGAAAAGAGGGAAGGCAGGTAGGGAAAGGCATGTCATGTCGAGTGCATGAATGAATGAGTTGAATGAATTGAATTGAATGAATGATTGAAAGCAAAGTAAAAGAAAAAGAAAAGAAAGAACGACACGTGGACGGTTAGAAAGGAAGAGGGAGAGTAGAGATAAAGGGATTGTTAGATTTGATTTGATGAAGTGAATAATGTGTGGAGGTGAAAGTGTCCTTATAGTGAAGCCACTCACCCACTTCCTTTTAATTCCCTTTCTCAACCGAAATATGTCTTTCTTTTGGGAAACAATTGCCTTCTCCCCGCTCTTAGCTTTACCAACTAATCCTTCTCGACCACATTCTTCATCAAACACATATTACATCCAATTCTTAAACATCAAGTCCTAAGAATGCCCTAAAACTCGGTCTAATCTTGTCGAGCTTCGTAATGCGATTGTACAATACTTACTATCGCAATTGATTAAGTCTGATAAGATAAGGAATCAACTACAAGGGGAATAAGATTCGAATTACCTTGTCGATCGAATATCTCAAGGCAAGAACACTTGATTGAGATTCGAATCACTTCACAAGCAAGATCGATCATGTCTAGCTTGAATGATTCTTGTTGATCAAATATCTCAAACACTTGTTTGAGATTCGAATCACTCCACAAGCAAGATTGATCATGTCGAGCTTGAATGATTCTACATGCAACCTAAACTACATAGAATTGCAAAGAAACTTAGTCATTGGCTAAAGAAAAGCACAAATGCTCCTTTTAATATATTTTCCAAGTCTACCTTACAAATACAACATACATGCTTTATATAGCCTCAAAATGAAACTATTAAATGCATTCCAATAGTTGTAACATTCATATTTAATGACTATAATTAGCCATTATGTAAATGTAACCTAAGGTAAATAAAATGTCTTAAAATACAATAACTATAAATTACTCTAAATTGTAACCCACCCAAAATTTACAACAATCAAACTTCATTGACAACCTTTTCTTCACCTCTTCATTGAAGTATATTGTATGATTGATGTCTTTTGGTTCATATCAAAGTCAGCCAACTAAACTTGGGTAACTGTTGGCACAAACGACATCAAGTCCCAAGGATGTCCTCAAACTAGGTCTAACCCTGTCGAGCTTCGTAATGCGATTGCACAACACTTACTCTCGCAATTGAATAAGTCAGTTAACTAAACTTGAGTCACTGTTGGCACCAACGACATCAAGTCCCAAGGATGCCCTCAAACTAGGTCTAACCCTGTCGAGCTTTGTAATGCGATTGCACAACATTTATTCTTGCAATTGAATAAGTCAGCTAACTAAACTTAAGTCACTATTGGCACAAACGACATCAAGTCCCAAAGATGCCCCCAAACTAGGTCTAACCCCGTCGAGCTTCGTAATGCGATTGCACAACACTTATTCTCGCATGAATAAGTCAGCTAACTAAACTTGGGTCACTATTGGTACAAACGACGTATACCTAAAGAGATCTTGCTATTTGATTCTCCATTCATCTTGACTTTGTTTGGTGAAGTGATTCTAATTTTTATTTAATGCAATATCTTAGATACTTGACTTCTAAAAATGAGTTAATTAAATCTTTGCTTGCCTCGTATCTCAACATTATCCCCTAGGGCCCCACCTTCTTTGTCAACCCACCACCATTATTTTTTAAAATTTTTAATAGAGACTTTGTTGTACTTCCCAATTCTTTTTCTTTTCTATTTTAAATATTCTTTTTTAGTCATCAGTTAGGATAATAGTAAAATGTTACATGGCTTGGATGCCACGTCATGAATACGTGATGATGTCCCCTCTCCAAGTGTTGGTCCCACCATGAGTGGCCACTTTAAGTTCCACAAAAACCAAATTTGTCCAAACCTTAATAGCAATGCATTATTTGTGTTATGATATTCATATCAACTTTGTAATGCATGTAATTATGATAGCTATGTTAATAGGATCATATTTATGGATTGTGAGAGAACCTATGTATGTATAAAATCATTAATGAAATATCATAAAAAATTTATGTCACGATAAGTGTGAAAGTATTGTGTGCATCATAATATTGAATCATGATTTTTAATGTAGTATCACAGACATGTTATATGTCCTATGATCATAGATTGTTTATCCAACATAATATGCACAAATGTATATACTACAACACCATTCGAGTTCCTTTCTTTTCCATAGGTTTTCGACAGCAGAAGCATGCTCTAGTCAATAAGCCTAGAGGATACGTTAACCAGCCTTTTCAATAAGTTGATTCTTGCTTGCATGAACTGAGTATAAAGAAATACTATATATCTAATTTTACCTGAAAAAGAAAGTATAGCTCAAAGAATAATCGTGAAGAAATAGGTCACATTAGTCAAAATATATAGTAGAAGGATAAAGTTCATGTAGTATAAAATTCATAAACTCAAAGATATACATCGTCAATTTAAAAATGAGTTAAGTGTTCGTTCAATATCTCCTGCAATCAAATGATTCTTAGCTCTATGATTCCTATTGAAAGACTTTACGACATGTTGGTGATTAATGCATTATTGATGCGTATGGATGCATATTGGTGTGTGAAACTAGTCTTTGTAAGTTTGCAACAACAAGTTATCCACTCTAACCGAGTGGTGTGAGATCAAAACAATTGTTGAAGCACTTCATTCCATAAAAGGTAGTTATTCACACGTAAAAACATTTTGGCTAAAAGGGGACCACATCTAATTGTTCCAAATAATGGTGAGGAAGGCATGTGGACAAAAGAGGTAATCTTAGCCTTGAATTTGAGGAAATTGAGGAATTATTTAAGGAATGTTGCCCTAAATAGAAGAGTGTTAACCACACACAAGAAAGAGGACAATAGAGAGCAAGAGGAAAACCCACCTAATTTGAAAAATATAACACGAAGAAGAGAAGGAGAAGGCTCTGCATCATTGACTTTACGAGCATGCTTGTCTAATACTAAGGATGACTTAGAATGGGGTCACAAATCCAGATAACCACGTGTAACTACTCAGCATGAAACTTTCTCTTGAAATTCGAGCGATCCCTCGCCAAGAAATGTCCATCACTCCATAACTCAAAAGTAGCATAACGTGCCCATCATGCTCTTAGAAGTCCATAACTTGAACTTAATCTCTTTCTCTTGAAATTCGAGCGATCCCTCGCCAAGAAATGTCCTCACTCCATAACTCAAAAGTAGCATAACGTGCCCATCATGCTCTTAGAAGTCCATAACTTGAACTTAATCTCTATGACTTCAACCAAAATCTTGCAGACCATGATCATCATTGCTCAACTTCCAAAGTTGATGAATTTTATTTTTCGAAATGCCAGACCATGATCATCATTGCTCAACTTCCAAAGTTGATGAATTTTATTTTTCGAAATGCCAACTTATCAAAAACTCTCTAAGGGTAATGATCTATACGTGGGGTACTTAACTCTTTTAGTGGTTGCCATTGCCTACGTAATATGCATGTTGACATGCTCGGCTTCTAGAGTTATGATCATGAAAGGCTAGTTCATGGGTACCTCCAGATCTGGTATTGAAACTTAAGGTATCTCGTAACAAATCAATAAGTTAGACATCTAGCACTCTACGACGTCAACTCTCTGTCTTTCTAATGCTAGTCTGCTATCTCATGGCCCCTTTCAGCCTTATCGTCGTATCTAAACGCAATAGCTCAGATATACTCAAATCATACATCAAGTCATACAGGACTTATAACATTACCCTATCCTTAAATTTGTCAATCTTAGAAATTGAGACTTTAAAGGAAAAATCAAGAAATTAATTCTTTCGAGGCTCAGGTCTTACCATAAGCATATATGACTTAAAAATGAGATATCTAAATATAAAACGAGTCACGTAAATAATTTAACGAACATGAATAACATAAGATTTAAGAACGACTTAATACCCTAAGCAAGCTACTAGGTAAGTATTTTATGCTCAATCACGCAACCTTCTTCCTATTCAGATGGTTACACGTTTAAAAATTGATGTCATTGGAAGAGAATAACTTCCCCCCATCCAAAAAATGGCACAGAATAATGAAATAGAAGGAAAAACAAAAGGATAAAGAAAAGCGCACACAGTTTTGGAGTAGGAAGTAGACAAGGCGCGTGGTCCACATTCTAAACAAAAGCGCGTGGGTAGTACACAGATTTTTATAATTATACAGGAACCGGAGTAAAAAGAGGAGATAGGTAAGGGAACAGAGCAACAGCCCATATAGAGAGACATAATGGTAGACAGGGACATAATGGTCATATAATATGTTTAGCTTGATTTATAATTAATATTTGATATAAAGTGGATGAAAATATAATTGAGCAAACCCAATTAAAGTTTTTTTTTTTTATAAAAAAAAAATATATATATATATTTTAGTGGAAACGGATTTTTATACACCGACTCCACATCTTTTTGTTTATATTTAAAGTCTGTTTGTGGTTGCTTGCTGGGTCGCATCTTGATTTCATCTTAGAAGCATGGTGGATGTTCAAATTGTTTGCTGCATGTGCGGCGACATCGGCTTCCCTGACAAGCTCTTCCGCTGCAACCACTGCCGCACCCGCTTTCAACATTCGTATGTCTCTGCTTTTCTTTCTTCCATTTTCCATGCAATATCAATCAATTAATTTTGAGTGTTTTGCTTCAAAATCTGGCAGCTATTGCAGTAATTACTACACTGAATTGGGTCGCGCCGACCCAATTCAGGTCTGTGATTGGTGCCGGTGTGAAGGTCGTACTTCCTCCTCCTCCAGATCACATGGAACCTCCTCCAAGAGACCGCCGCCCACCGGTGAGAGAATCAAGCAGCACCATGAAGATGCCTCCTCCTCCGTTGGTGAGAAGGGGAAACACGGCACCGCGGGTGGCGTTCCGTCGCCCAAGCCCACCACACGCAGGTACAAGCTTCTGAAGGACGTAATGTGCTGAAAAAGAGGGCGGTGAATGGGGTTCCTTTAATTTTCTCAAATCTTAAATATTATTATATAGACATCGTATATATATAATATATATATATATATATATATCTATATAGTTTATAATATAGGTTGCTTTTGAGTGTGCGTGGGTTTATATGCAGCAGACCACATGAGTTTTGCTTCCTCTTTGTCATCGGTATATTATATACGCATATATTGTCTTATTTAAGTTTTTCTTTTTTGAGTTCTTCCCAAAATTTTAAAACAGGTCGGCTAGAATATTTCGTTTATATTGTGTTATTTGAACTTTTCTTTTCTGGGTTTTTCCCAAAATTTTAAAACATGTCTACCAGAATGTTTGGTTTATAGTGTGTTATTTGAGTTTTTCTTTTCTAGATTCTTTCCAAACTTTTAAAAGGGTCTATTAAAATGTCTGGTTTAGTTCTCCTCCTCAACTAACGTAGTGAGAATTTGGGAAAAAAATTATAAAAAGAATGATAATAAATAAGGGCCAAAGTCAATGAGAAATAATGGAGTGTTTTGTTGTTATTGATTTGTGGCCATTCATTTTATGTCTTTCAAATTTCCAAATATGCATTCATAAATGTATTTTTGTGTTATATGGGGCCCAATAACTTTCAATGTGTTAATCTATTTTAGTATTTTAATTCATTTTCATTTTCTTAATCCATCTAATTATTTATCCATAGTTTTTCTTTATATACTTTTAGGACTTTTGAAAAAAAAAATACTTTTTGTCTAACTAAAATGAATTGTTGCATTATTAAAAGTACTTCTAACATGATTTTCAAACTCATTTTTAAAAGCTTTTAAAGTAATAACTCAATCAACTTTTTACCCTAAACCCTAAAGTAAAAGTACACATAAAATGGTTTCTTTTGTAGATATTGAGCCTTTCGAAGATAAACAAAATGATGATAGTTTGCATAACGAAAATGATGTCAACATTAAAATTGTACAAACTTACACACATATCAAAATAGCGTGAAGATGTTACATCTGAGCATATTGATACTATGAAAATACCCTAACACGTTATCAACGCTAAAATATGTGCTTCCTTCCATGGTATTGAAACGCTACATTCAAGTGTCTCAACGTTTATCTAACACTTGGTTGTCATATTCTTTTCTTTCAATCTAAACTATCTTTCCACTTTCATCACTCATCACATGATTCATTGCTTAATCCCTTTCCTTTCTCTTTCTCTCTCTTTCTTTCTTCTTCTCACTCACAAGCAACTCTCATGGTTTTTTCTTTTTTAATTCATTAATTCCACAAATTACTTTTATTTAAATATGTGGTTGTATTAATAAATTATTGTTTTATTAATTACTTCAACACGTGGAAATGCCTATGTGTTATTTGACACGTGAAGCCTAATTAACCCATTAAAAGACTATTCATTATATTGGTCTTACCTATGCTTAACACATGTTAAGTATTAATGATATATGAAATTATTGTTGATAAGTTTTAACATATTTTGGGTAAATTTATGAGAATTCAAGACAATTATTGACCGAAGTAAACAAATAGGTAGCCCAAATAAATTTGGGTACAATAGTTCTTGTGTTCACGTGGAAAATAGGAAGCCTAAATATATCAGTTGGTTATTTATTGAAACTCGGACTGTGACTAAAAAAAATAAAGACAGTAAAAAAATAAAAGAGAGTAAAATAAAATAAAAGATAAAATACAGTAAAATTTGAATCATAATAAAGACAAACCAAGAATACACACAATCAAATACAAAACAAAATTTCATTATAAAATGACGTTCAAATTTATTACAAATGAAAAAATGAGTTCAAGATACAAATACCAATGACCTGAAATATAAAAATGGATTGATGCTCCAAAATGGTCCCCTCTTTGACCACATAGCTCTTGACGCTCCCACCTCAACCAGTAGGGTGCGAACACTTGCAAAAGAAGAGGAGAAAGGGGAAAGGGTTGAGTATAAAAATACTTTGTAAGCAACTACTTATAGTTTCTCATTGTATCCTTAACCTACTACGTTCATAGCTTTACTCTAGGCTCTAGAAAGTTTAGGCTTAGTCTCTAACAATTTCTGGACATGTAGTCTTTCTTTTTGCAATTGTAGTAATTACCTTCAAATTTCTTCCCTTGAGAGCTCTTGTTGTCGTTCTTTTAAGCTCTATTTGGTTGTGTAGTTCCTTGGTGATTTTTTCCTTTGTTACCATTTTTGTATCCACGTTTGGTAGACGGCTTATTGTTGCTCCGACTCTCACTTGTGTAGAGTGCTTCTTCTTCATCCTCTAATGTGATTCCTCCCATTTGTTTAGTTATAGCTTTTTGGCTGGCTAACAAATTTTCAACCTATGCAACTGATGGTTGAGCGGGCCATCTTTGTACAGCAATAACAAATCTTCTGTATTCTGGTCGCAATATGTGAATGATGATCCAAATCAACTTGACTTTGTGGAAATACTGAGCAATCGTCATGCCACGTTGTGAGGTTGATAACAGTTCATTCTCCAGAAGTTGTTGCCTCATATCATTCTTCTTAGAGAACAACATCACAAATGTGTCTCATGCTTCTTTCGGTATCTTGTCATCCCAAATTTGTTCTAACATCTCTTCTTTGATTGTGATCTTCAAGGCAAACATTGTTTTGCCTACTTTGATTCTCTATTTGTGTAAGGGGCCATTAGAATCCTCTTTTGGCGGCATAGTTTCACTCCCTCCAACAACCTCTTGAAAAAGTCCTATCCTTGTAAATATAACATCATGCATGTTGCTCATGTGTTGTAGTTGTTTTCGTTGAGTTTCTTGATTCCTTTAACGATTTGGAAATCATCCATCGTGTTGGCAATACCTCAATGATACCAAACAAGTATTTTCGACACAAAACTTGGCGAGTCATGGACTACTCATGACACAAAGAAACTCACTCATTATAAACTCAAGAAATCATTTCTGATGCGGAAGATCATACAAAGCTGCAACCATAGAGGATACTAAGAATTCCAAAAGATCAGACAACCTACACTAACCCTGCTTTGATACCAAATTGTTGAAAACAACTCTTTTTGGGAAACACTTGCACTCTTTAGTAACACTTTGTAGAAGCTACTGTACTATACTTTGGATTTATTTTGAAATGAAAACCTAGGTAGGGTGGATAGGTATGTATAGTAGAGGCTAGACACTCCATTCCTAAAATATATAATTTTTTTTACTAAAATATCTAAGCCATTTTTATTCTAAAATATCTCAATTATTTTCCTAAAAATAAATATATAGTGGACTGATTTAATTATTGGGTTTAGTTCCTATTCGGAGTTATTGGGTTTAGTTACTATTGGACCCATGATGCTATATTTTAACACGGGCCACCACTTCGTACCTTATGGAGGAAGCTTCGTAACTAACGGTAATTGTTGTGAGTTTTCATTTTGATGTCTCTCATTATTTGAGAGACCAAAGCAATACCTTGATGCTTCATTATTCATTATCATGGTTTAAACTGCTATATCTCATTGCTTTGTTTGAAGCTGACGTTTCTGTAAGGAATTTGACCATGCATTTTCATCTGTTAGTTATAATCAGTATCTCTAATATATTTCCTTTACGTAAGGAATCGACTCAGATAGCAGTGATAATATTTTAACACGCCTTTTCAGTATTAGTCTTCACTGCACCATGTTGAGTTGACAGGAAAATCCCTCATATTTGTCAATATTCAATTCTCTTGTCGATAATTTTGCCACTTGATCATCCATATTCTTCTTTCAACATTTTCTCTCTAGTAAAATGATAATGCACCTTCACATGCTTTGTTCTAGCATAAAACTTCGAATTTTCTACTAGGCGAGTTGTATATTTATTGTCTCAAATGAAGTGGTATTGATAGTCAACTTTCTGGTGCAAATTTTCGATAATAGTTTCATCCATGTTCTTTCTTAAGTTGCTCCAGTCGTTGCTTCGTACCCCCCTTCTATAGTTGACGATGATACAGATTGTTGTCTTTAGCTACATTCAGAAATTGTTCTCGAACCGAACTTGAACATATGTCAAGTTCTTAATCTTTGAGTAGCGTGATATCTTGCATAGTCTGCATCACAGTATTCAACTAACTTGCATTCTCCGCTTCTTTTGTACAAAAGACCATAGTCGATTGTACTTTTGACACATCGCAGGATCTGTCAAGCCATATCCAAATGAGGCTTCTTCAAACTTTGCATGTATCCACTAATGACTACAACTCCATTTTCAAATCCCTTTGGTTGATATTCGCCACTGGACCAAACGTTTCATCATAGCCTAATTCATATTATTGAGAGAACCCTCAAGCTATAGGTTGAGCCTTGTATCTCTCGATTGATCCATGCAAGGGACATTTTATTTTGTAAACCCTCTTACAAGAGATGGATTTCACATCGCCTAGTCTTGGGACTACTTCCCAAGTTTGATTTTGCTCCAAAGCTATAAATTTTTCCTCTATTGTCTTGTACCAAGCCATATTTTGTGATGCTTCTTCGTACATCTTGTAATCTCTTTTCTTTCACTTGTGTAGAGTGCATCTTCTTCACCCTTTAATGTGATGCCTCTCATTTGCTTAGTCATGGCTTCCTGGCTAGCTAGCAAATTTTCAAGCTCTACAAGTGAAGGTTGAGCGGGCTATCTTTGTACAACAATAACAAAACTTCTATATTCTAGTTGCATTCCATGGATAATGATCCTTTTCATTCGAGGTTCTTCAATGACAAACTTCGGATCTAGTTCAGCAGTCTCCCAACAAATCGACTTGGCCTTATGGAAGTATTGAGCAATCATCATTTTGCATTGTGAGATTGATAACAGCTTCTCTAGAAGTTGTAACCTCATATCACTCTTCTTTGAGAACAACATCATGAACGTGTCTCATGGTTCTTTAAGTGTCTTGTCATCCCAAATGTGTTCTAACATTTCTTTTTCGATTGTGGTTTTTAAGACAACATTGCTTTGCGTGCTTTGATTCTTCATTTGTACCAGACACCATTATAATCCTCCTCTGGCGGCACAGTTTCACTCCTGCCAACAAACTCCAAAAAGTCCTATCCTTATAACTAGGACATTAAGCATGTTGCCCATGTGTTGTAGTTGTCGTTAAGTTTCTTTTTCCTCCAACAATTTGGAAAACAACCATCGTGTTGGCTATTACTCAATTATACCAAACGAGTTTTTTTTGAAATAAAACTTGTAGAGTCA